TTTTTTTTCAGGACCAAAAAAAAGTCAAAATTTCCACCCCCCCTTTTTTTTTTTTTTTTTTTTTTTTTTTTTGCTCTAACATCACAAAACTGCACTGTTCTTTGACTACAGCCTACTGTCCTGACATTCTGGTTTTTATTTGAGGTTTTTCTTTTATTTATTTGTTTGTTCGAAGCCATTAAAGACCGGGGACTTGGTGCCATCATAACTCTCTTTACAGTGCTATTGTGTGAAATTATAATCACTTGTTATGAGATAATTTTTATAGTCTTTTTCACACCAGACCTTTTTTTGTATTTGTACAGTGGCTTGGTGATACTGATATGTTGCCATGAGTTATTGTAACCAATAAAAAAGCTTTTAATCAACAATTTCAATTCTCACTGATTTATTTATTTTTAAGTTTTTGTTCATAAAAGCCTTGCAGCAGATTTTAACCCATTTAAGCATTTGTAAAATGTTTTTAAAAATGTTATTGCTGCATAATGTAATTGCATTAAAAACTAAATATCCAACCATCATCTTAAGCTGTAGGCCAGGAATCTTACATTAAGAAACTTTTGAGCAAAATCACCAAATGCGATGAAAAACTGACTACAAAATACATGTACATGTAGTTAATTTGAACTTTTAAGACTTTTTATTTTAATTAGTAATTTATTTCTTGTTTCATTGGTTTATAAATATACCGTGAGAAAAGAACGAGAACATGCCATTCAACTAAATAGATGTGAGCTGATCTTTAGGAATTGGTAAGCAGCTAACAAAAACGAAATTCGTTTGTAAAATTGTAAATGGACCCAAGGTCAGGCAAATATTCAAAACCAGCTGTTAAGAGGAGTGCAGTTGTTATAAAAATAAATAAATAACAGGGCAGGTTTACGCTGGGGTTATCGAACATTAATGTAAAATGCATTAGATAACATAAAAATGGATAAAAAAAAAATAAAGCAAGAGCATTATCCTTACACTGGTTCTGCTTATTAACTTGAAGTGGAAAACAGCATGTGGTGGTTCTGCTTTTGATATCAAAATGGATCCTGGACGTATTGAAGCCATGTCCCACCTTAGCTTCCCTCATGTCAAGGTCATGATGTCTGCCATGTAGGAAACAGACATCAAGGGACGAGACGCAGTTCAGTAAAAAACTATGTCCCAATAAAAATGTTAAACGTTTCAATCTCCACCCATTGCCTGTGTTGTGGTTCTGAATATGTATGAGTTTTAATTCTGGTTGGGAATCGCACAAAATAAATCAAAGCGTCACAAATCGCACTTTTGACCCCCCTCCCCCCCAACTTAAATGCTTGTAAAAGTGGTGCAGTGCTGTCAAAACGTGAATGCAAACACAAAGTCAAGTTTTAGATAATTTCAGGTTTAATGCAATCTAGCAAATTTTGATACACATTTGAAAGGAAACACAAAAGTTTACAAAACGCAGTGATGTGTAACTGCAAGCCCATTGTACTATGTATAAATAAAATATAATATAAAATATCTGATGATAATTAAAGTCTTTGAACTATACAGTTTGGATTGTTAGAAAATAGAAATAAAACTACAGTACATGCTTTCCTTCCAGCTCACGATTACAGTGCGTATATTTAGTATTTCCTTACACTTTTAATATAACGTGTTTATTTTTTTTCCACTTACAACTGATCCCGTTTGAACAAACGTCTGCAAAAGTCTTCATTTTCTCCATAAACAGAATAATAAAAAAGGCATCTTTACAATTAAAGTCACAGCAGGTTAGTGTCAAAAAACTGAATCCAACACGTGGCAATCTGACCAATGCATGCTGCCCCCTGGTGGAGAGAAATTTCACAACCACTGTTCGTTTAGGTAGATTTTTCCTTTTTAATTCAACTGCTTTTTTTGTGAGCACCTGATGTTTCTGGCTGGATTAAGAACAGGGAAAATACTTAATTTTTCCTGTGAAACCTACAAAAATAGCAAATGTTTTTTGTTTTTTTTTTCTGAGCACAAAGAGAATCTTTCACAAAACAAAAAAGTCTTAATATCTGAGAAACATTGCAGGTTCATTTGTTCCGAGGAACATCAGCTTTGCCCCCAGTGGCGTGCAGAAAGAGTTCCATGTTTTGGTTGACTCAGTTTCCAGCATCGCCATCAGCAGACTGCAGAGTCCTGAGGCTGCAGGTACTGCTTGGTAAACTCCTCCAGCTGTTGCTCCAGCTCTGTAGCTTTATGCCTGCACAGAAAATAGAAAAATGTATAAAACATGAACCAAATTTACCAAAGAAGTTTGTCATCCACTTTTGGCAACAACTAAATGTTTTGTTGGTGTCTGAAAAACGAGCAGTTTCAAAAACCTCCCGATTATTAAGTCTCAATCAGCGGGCACTGCCCTGTTGTCTAGTAACCCCAGCTCCAGTATGTTTGGTCAGCTGGTTTTTGAAGCATTCTGTGCAAAAACAACATGCGAGTCCCAACTTGTTCAAGAAAGCACAATATGTCCGCTTTTAGTTAGCAGATGCTAATTTAACTAAGTTTAAGCTGCTTTGCAAAATAAAAAATAGGCATCAGTTCTATCTGTAGATGTACAAAGATGGCGATGGCAGCTGTACCTGCAGAAAAAATTAGTTCTACAAAGTTTCTACACGGTGAGGCTAAATACAAAAACAAGGCACATTTAATTTTTTTTTTTTTTTTTTACATTTTTTTGAAAATCATGTTCATTTTCCAAAATTATGGAAATACTTTCTGCTGGTATATTTCATAATATCCTCAGAAAATCCATTAAAGTCTGCTAAATAGTTCTAGGAGTATAAATACTTTTGCTAGACACAGTAAAACTTGCTGAATTACCTGAGAAGCTACAAACTATTCCCCTTATTGGTGTACTCATGAGAGAGCGTTCAGGACTCACCGCAGAGTCTTTGAGCAGTTCTGGACGGTCTGCAGCTTATCTATATTAGTGGTCAGCTGACGGATGTTTGCCTCCAGGTCCCTCTCCGTCTGATCCACCTGCTGACAGAGCCGAGCAAACGTCGTGGCCATTTCCCTGCAGACAAAGTCACACCGCTTAGAGGAGGAGGAAGTCATGATGAGGGGAAAATGGATTTCAATAGGTTTTTTACAATACTGCAAATCAAAGTTATGAATATAGTCACTGAATTTACCCAACAACACGTAACAAAATGATCTTTCAGTTACCAGGTTATTGGACAGGCAGGACTTACTGTTGGACCTGGTGGCTGCAGTTCGCACTTGTAAAGCTCACGATGAGCTGCAGTTTCTCAGTAGCGAACTCCACAAACTGCCGCTTCAGAGTTCGCTCTCTCGCTTTTGTGGTCCAGGTGAGTCTCTCGTACAAGTACAGCAGGCCGTAGAGGGAAGCCGACAGGGCGATACACCTCCAGCCGACTGCTTTCCACACCTTGAGAGCAAAAGACAAAACAAACAAAAAACAGTCAGAAGCTTTAAGACAAACTGTTAAGAGGATATCTGCAGGTTTCAGCAAGTCAAATTTAAGACCTTTTAATGGCACCTTGAAGGAAATTTAAGACAGAAAAATCTATAAACAGGTTGGTTGAGGGAACTTACTGGTCAAGTATAGTAAAAACTGTGACACTGGCTTTGTGGCCATGATAAAAGCAAAAAAAGCGTTAGCGAGGGTATATTAGCAGCTAGTAGAAGATAGCCTCAACCGTCTCAAGTCAAAGAGCGAAATGAAGACGTTTGGATGTGATTCAAATTTCAGCTTGACAAGAAAATAAAAATCTTCATTAATTAGTCCTGCCATGACAAAATTTGAGACCTGAGGTCAATGTATTTAAGACGTACTTAAATGTTTTAAATTCATTTGAGACATTTTATAGTCCTAATTTTTTTCCAGACTTTTTAAGGACGCATTTAGACCATAATTAAATAGGAGGATGTTCTGATCTGTAGACGCTTCTGTGATGGTCTAAGGTTGACGAACACAGTTCAAATGGACATACCACTCCTCCAACAACGATGATGCCCATTGAGGTGCGGGAAGTGATGGATGCCAAGTTGGTTGCCATGGCTATCATCAGGTCTTCCTGGGTCATCAGAGCCTTCTCGTTGGGCGGTGCTGCGATGGATGGGGGCTCAGACGAAGGTGTTACAGGGACTACAGCTCTACAGTTCTACAGAATAAAACAACTTCAACTTTAGGCTGGTTTACCCCCAAATACACAACATGAGGTCTCATTACGCCCATCTCAGTAGCTACCTGGTAGTTTGGATCTACAAGTTTGAGAGCTCTCTGTGCATTAACAGAACCCAGGTAGCGGTGCACTAAAGCCTTCAAGCCCAACGAGAACTGGAACTCGATGTTTTCCTGGAAGTCACTGCAAATGGCAGCACAGTTCAGGTCGTAGCTCAAGTCGAACGTCTTTTTGGGCACCAGCATGTGGACTTGGCTCTGAGCCGTTGAGGGAAGCAAAGGCACCATGCTATCTGAAATGTTACACCCACACGAAAAACATTAGTATTTGAAGGAAAAAAAAAACTTACATAGTTACCCGTCTTCATTCCCCCTCCCCCCCCCCCCCCCAAAAAAAAAAAAAAAAAAAACAACTTGACTTCAATCTTTAGTTTAGTAACAGCACCCTGAATATTTTATCAACGACCGCATTACCAGTTTACCTGCATCAGTGTCAGAGAGGACACAGCCTGCATGCAGGTCTGAAACGGTGACGCATTTGTAGCATAATGAGGCATGTGGTGAAGGCATTCAGCAAGGACAAATATAGTGCAGTCAGGTGACCAAATGCTTCTGATTAGGTGAAGTCAAAATGATCCAGTAAAATGTATTTTCTATAAATCAGTTGGGATTTCTTGTCATGTCAGTTACCCATCATGTATTGCTGGGAAGACTGGACAGAGGCATTGATGGCAGTGGAGCAGCGGAACGCCAGGTTCTTTCCCATCCCCTTTTCTACATACTTCAGCAGATCCTGCCAATGACAAAGAAGGAAGTTCAGCTCAGCTAGAGAAGAAACACTTTCCTAAACCGATCTGATGCAAAAATAAGTTTGAAAAAGTTGCACAAATTAGATGGACTGGAAACTCTCTCCATATTTTATCACTCTACTCTATGGTATTTAATTTAATACTGCAAGATTAACACTTAGCACAAGTACAAAATCAGGAGAAAGATATTTGAGATTCTGCAAGAAAATCCCTCAGAGAATGAATTCACTTTATTCTAATGTTGAAGAAATGATTACAAGAACCAATGCAGTCTTCCATCCGAGTTCACCACTGAGCTCATAGCAAAAACAAACATAGCGAGCATAAATACTTGTGATTATGATTGCGTACATTACAATACAACTCCAAGTTGCTGTTCCAGAACCAGAACTCAAACTTTTCAGGACTTTTTCAGGTTCTGGTTCTGATCTGCTCTGAACCAGAACCAGAACCAAACATAGAGAAGCAGCATTCAGTTTTTTATGCTTCACTAATCAAACTTCCAGATCAGTGGAAGTTTGCTCGACTGCAAAACAGCTGAAACTCTGAATTCCTTTAAATCAAAGTTAAAAACCCGCAGATTTAAAGTTGCCTTTGATTAATAATAGCTGGAACATTGATAAATAAATTTGATATATATTTGCTTTTTGCTTTTGATGATGGGATTTCACAAAATGTCATGTTTATTTTATGTTTCATAATGGGTTACTGTATGATGTTTCATGGTGTGAAGTACTTTGAATTGCCTTGTTGTTGAAGTGTGCCAAATTAACTAGAGCGATCAGCTCTTTTTTTTTTTTTTTTTTTTTACAGAGTTTTACTTACAGCCTTGTAGAGTTTGAGGACTTGATGCGAAGGGTGGAAATCACCGCGGAACTCGTCAACAATCACATTAAGACGGTTGATCTCCTCTCCCATAGCGATGGACACCTGAGTGTAACGCAAGTACATAAGTCTGACAGCATATTTACTGGTGTTTTGGTTGCTGTTATCCGCACAGGCAGGGTGAAGTCATCCCACTTCTTGTTACCTTGGACTCCACATCGTCACTGATGGCTTTGATCTTCTTTTTTATTTCTTCAGTCAGCAAGTTGAGTTGATTCCTGACAAACTCCAGCCGGTCTCTCTGATACTCTCTGTCCTCCAGTGCTGCCACTCTGAAAGTCCAAAACGAAAAGTCATGGCGGATACAAGCGCCCAAGCAACTGACCAGTCAACTGTGTTTACTGCATTTACATTTCAACTGAAGTTGTTATAATTGTTTAACCACATTACGCTTCACTTTAACTACTCAGAAGATTTCTATTATGTAGTTTACCTGTTATAGCCTTTAAGACATTGATAAAAAAAAAAATGTTTATTATGAACTGTAAAATTCTTAATAGCTGTAACAGAAAAACAAGAGTGGAAGACGTGCAGAGGGATGCTCACCGTTTCTCTGCTGCTTCAATGTTGATGGCATCCATGATGTTCTTGACTTTTTCTATGATCTGCTTGGCCCTGATAGTGTGCTGCTCAAACTTTGTTTTCACTGCTGACTGCGAGATACACTCCTGCGAGGCCACAACACACAAGTTTACTGTGACAGGTACGCTGGGTGCTGCCGGACCGCCTGCATGAGTTAAGCATGCGGTGTGGGGACAAACAGGACAAGATAGACACCTGCTGCTTTTAACCAAAGATAAAGGCAAAGAAATGGAGACACAGGCGTGAAAATGACAGCAGCAGAGTGTGTACCTTGTGTCGCGCAGCCCACATACAACAGGGTCACGGCTTGTGTGTTGGCTCAGCCACAGAAAAGTTTGGAAATAATAGAAACTTATGACAAACCAGACAAATTGTAGAACGAAAAAACCGAAAAAACATGTCAAAACAAGAAAACGTAGGAATGTTGTGTCCTATGGCTCTAGAGTGAACAAAAATTTACGGACATAAAAGATTTATCTTGCCATTAAAAACAACAGGAGGAAACTCATCTGTTCCTAACAGGATGTTCGTTTAGACTAACGTCAGGAAAAGTTATTGTCTATTCTTATTTGATCAGTTCAATGTTAATCAAACTTAAGCATGATCTTTGTTATGAATAAATACAATCTGGAAGTAAGCCCAGTTTTCATGATCTGACGCACTTACACATTAAATATTAGACTAAAATCTCCAGCCACTTGCTGTTTATAACTGATTACTGGAAGGAAACGGGCAACTGACTTCCTTGATTTAAATATGTTTTAGCTAAACAGAAAAGCTCTAGCTTAGGTTAGTTCATAAACACAGCTTCAGTCAACAATTACCAATGTTTCAAGGCTCAAACTTCTAAGTAGTTTTGCTGATTTTCTCAAAGATACAAGATATATGTTGCTAATATATTAGCAACATATACCATTTTGCTAAAATGGTATATGTTGAGATGAAAATAAAACTGAAAATATTAAACTGAAAAATGCAAACAGATGTCAAATGAAACCAAACAACTGTTAACCTCACCTAAGTGAATCTAGACTTCAGCAATGAAGACGCAGGTTGAAGAACAGGCACGTATCTAAAGGGCCCTACAGGTGCCTGCTCTGAGTGGGGAAACATAAGAAAAAACTGACCAGGAGTTTTCCCCCATCAGACTAACCCAGTGTTTGTTTTAAGATTTTATGATTGGTGTTCATGAATTAATCTTCCAATAACACATAATTATCAAGTGATATTTTGAAATTTTATGTCAACTTTAAATATTTTTTTAACTAAAAAACACGACGAGCTCCTGGATAAATGACTGCCCAACCTCCGGGCTTAGCAAGTTTTCTGGGGAGAGACCTTGGACCCGTTTCTCTGCACTGCAATCCTCCAAAAACCTCTGAGTGAAACAAAATCAGTTCAAACATTCACTGGAAGTCTAGGTTTACAGCAAACTAATGTGGCGGCTCTGAGCTGGCTCTCTGCTTACTGAAAACCACTATCACACTACATGATGAAAACTCTAAGCTGTGTATTTCTATTTTTTGCAGCAGCACAATTACACCAGAGAGATTTGATGCGACTGTTAGTCCAATAATGGAAGGAAAGCCAGTTGCAGGTGTTGATCCTGCTCTTATGTGATTCTCATTTTGATAAGAGGGAGAGGTTGGTGAGGAAAAGGTGACAGGTGAAGACACTCATGACTGGGAAAAAAAAAAAAAAACAATAAAAAGACATTTATTACTGCAGCAGAACTATTGCACTTTGTTTTCTGAAAAAGTCACAGCCTAATATTTGCATCATGTCTTTGGTCATTGGCTTACATCAATTGAACAGAGTAAACTAACCTTTCTAGCTGCATAAAAAAAACTCCAAGTCATTATCTGTTAATCAACTTGTATCCCTTCTCTGCTTTTCTGCAGAAAGGGGATTCAGTGAAGAGACCGGAAACTGAAATGACTGTCAGAAGTCAGTTTGTAATATAATCATCATGCCTTGCTGGTAATTATATTACCATATATTAAGCCTCAACATAACGCTAGTCTGTGTACCTCAAACCTCCTCTCAAAACTCTGGAACTCCTTTAGTCTCTCCTTGAAGCCCTCAGCCAGAGCGCCACCTGTGGGATAAAAGTATAACATAACGTTACATAAACTCTATTTAGAGACTTCAAATAAATTATATATATATTATTTAAACCTTAAAAAAAATTATATATATAAAATTTAATTTAGCATTAAAAATGTTTGTTTGCTCTCTCCATTTTTTCACCAAGTAAAAATAGAATACTTAAACAACAAATAAGAATGGACACAAAAATGCTGAATAAATAAACAAAAGCCATCCTTGAGACTACTACACAATCTTTCTCTGCCCTGGTTGAACAGAGTAAAGGATAAACTGTATTTTACGCTCACCTGTTTCCGGCATGCCCTGCGCTCGCTGCATCCGGGAGTTGAGCACCTCTTTTGCAGACACAAAGAAAATATGGTTGGGTGCCTGATCACGGTCGAGAACTCTTAGTTCCTCCACAAGAAAGTTCACACAGCGGTCTGTGTGCTGCTTCCTCACCTGCAAAAAATAAATAATAAATGTATCAATGTTAACAGGTTCGTTTTCAATGAGATTTCATGATAGAGTCGCAAAAAAAAAAAAAAAAACCCACCAATATTACATAAATAAGTAAGGTCATCATACAAAAGCAGTTTCTAGGAATGGATTTTAGAGGGGCAGAAAATCAGAAGATCTTTTTGTTTGTGGCATGAAAGCTACAGCAGGAGTTTTAACTCACATCCTCCATGTACTCTGGTTCATTTGCCGAGGCATCCCAGCGATTGTTAAGGATGAAGATGTTTGGCTTTGAGAGACGCTCGTTCACTTTGTGGAAAAAATGTTTTTCCTAAATGGAATACAGACACAAGGTCAATAATATGCTTCAGAAAACAAACTCAGACAAGTCCATGGCAGCGAAAAACGTCAGGGTGTATTCGGTACATCGTTTTCAGCTAACAGAAATGTTCTAAACGAACGCTGTTATACAACAACAAAATACATTTATTAATCTTCTGTCGTGTCAGAATTTGGTTCAGGTCCAGTGGACAGCCAGCACAGGAATGCGAGTCTGCTTTCTCTTTAAGAGCAGCAGTGACCGTGTTTAGCTTCACATTGCACGAATGCCTGAGCGGACAGAGACAAGTGGAGCCTTTCTGAGGCTGCGTACTCACAGACGATTGCAATCTAACCAGCTCAGGATAGAAAGTATGCACACAGGCCTCTTTAGTACACATAAGTGACTTGGAAATTAAACCGTTGCTGCTCAATTAAACCCTAAGTGACTACTAAAAGCATTTCATATGCTTAGTGTATAATGATAATGTTTCCTAACTTTATGGAATTTTTAAAAAAAAAAAAACATACCCGAGATAAGTCTGCATTTTAATTATGTACTTGTTCCATATCAAAGAACATATCTTCGTCAAACGTTATAAACCAAGAGCTAAAAAGAAAAAAGCCACCCCGCTACCCTCAACAACACATGAAGCAGTTACACCGTTAGCACAACTCTGCTTCCTCGCTAAGGACACCAGTCCTGCAAATCTCACGATGACACGACAGATTTAACAGACAGCACTAGCTAATTACAGGAATGACAGGTTATGCCAAGTTTCATAATGAATAAAAGACTTTAAAACTTATCTAACCTGCTTAACGCCTCTAGTAAAATAAATAAATCTCACAGGACGGCGGTGTAAAATAATACCGTGTTCATAAGCGTCGATTCAGAGTTTGCCACCAGCACAAAGACATCAGCGTCCAGGCAAAACTTGTCAATCCAGCTGTCCAGCTGCGTTGTGACATCTGTCCCTGGACTAGAGGGAGAAAAATGTCCAAACAAATGTTGAAATGGGGAAAAAACAATGCATTTATATATTAAAATAAGCTTTATAAACTGCTATGCAGCAGTCGTGCAGGTTTTCCAGATGTGATTGTATGTCTACCTGTCTACGAGGACCAGGTCGTCTCGAAGCAGAGCACATTTGGTTTTTGGCCAGAACACCCGAACCAGACAGCCGGCATCCAGGCTTTCATCCATGTGCAGAGCGTGAGCCAGCTGGTTCACAGTCTGCAAACGGGTCGGAAAAGATGGGATGAATGTTGGAAGAATAATAAACACATATAGACATACGCGTTTCATATTAACGTGGAGGGAAGCAATCTCTGACAATATATTAACTCCTAAACAGAAATACGCAACTGCAAGTAATCAAAATCATTCCTGAAATACCCGTGACCACCAGTGGATCAAATTATGACAAGGAGAAACATTTTCTTTTTCGCTTAACAAATTAAATCCTTGACCTGTCTTTAGGAATCGGTACGAAGTCTCAACTCTTATCAAGGAACAAATTCAATCAGACTGTGTTCTTAACAGTCTGACCTACTTTACTAACGCTTTCACAACAGCAAGAACATTTCAGTTCATCTGCATTTTTCCTGCCTCTTTCATTGTGTTTGACTAGATACTGAGAAGTGATATGAACACAATAAAAAGACAGAATATGACCCCTCATATTTCCTACTATACACTAGTTTTGTTCCAGTCTGAAAACCAAATAAATGCAGCAGAGTTAGTCTAGTTAGAAGGAAATCCATTACATTAAAATAAGCTGTGTTGTGAAATTCTGTTAAAACTTTACTTTATACAGTATAGTTCTGATGTAAAATGCGACAAGGATTAGACATATTTGCAATAACAAAAAACTGACAGAAGCTAAAACAAAAACTAAGAAGTTTACTTTAATGCTCTTCTCCTCTTCTGAGCCCTCAGTTTTAAGGTAGGCCTTCTCTTCATCAGTGCCTTCAACGCTCAGGAAGCAGTTAGTGGTGTGACCGATCCCGCTGGGCAGGACGCGGTCCCTCAGCATGGCATTAATCACCGTGCTTTTACCATTACTGGTCCTAAAGGAAAGCATCACAGGTCAAACAGGCCACTTCCTGTTACTCAAATCAAACCAAGATGTTGTCAGTGATTTTAGTTCAAAACCAAGTTCCTACTGTTTTCAATTAGGAGATGAAGCAAAAAAAACAACAAAGGTGTGCATATCTTACGTTTGTGACCTTTGGATGACCTTTGCAGTACATTATCTTTAAAGTTATGGTGGTGGCACAAATACACTTACTACAAATATCTTTAAAATGACAGTCAATAACATTTTAAGGTCATTTCACAAAGCTGAACAACACAGAGAGATGAGTCTTTGGCTCATCGCTCTCCATCGCTCAGAGTCCCTTCCTCAGCAATCTTATTTAACAAAACAAAACCAGTGTTTCCACATATTTAACCCTTATTTTTGTTGATAAAACGTTCAGTCCTGTGCTGACCAAGGCACACAGTTGCAATTGATTTCTCAAAAGAATTCAACTAATAACACATATTTATTTGTGGTGGTAGGACAGGAAATGCTTATTCCAGGCATGTCACCAAAACAACAAGTTAGCAAGTAAACATTACAGAGTGTAATATATGTCACTCTCAGTAGTTCTCCCTCAGTGAGCTATGGAGGGTCCCACCCTCCCCTTAGATGGAAAAAAGCTAATAATTGAGGTTGGTACATTTTATTTACTAAAAGATAAAGTTGAAAAAAATATAACAAAAAAAGAGCAAATAAGCCACATATCACAGCCAAAGACCTTCAGGCCTTGAGATGTTTTTGTTTGATTTGTTTTGTTTTGTTTATTTTTAATTCTGTTATTTAAAAGAAATCTGCCATATACTTGTAAACATGAACTTACCGCAAAGTGAAAGTGAAACACACCTACCCAGGCTATTGTAATTTTCATCCCATATTAGAACAGAAAGGAAAAATCTCTACGGCAGGATATCAAGCCTCAGGTGAGGAGTGACGCATTTACCTGCCAAAAAACGCCACCTTCATGTGCCTGCGAGCCAGCACCTCCTTAATGACTGCGAGCTTGTCGGCATAGGTTTGAATCTCCACCTTCTGATCTTTAGTCGCGATGGTCCCCAGAGCCTCATTCCCACTGATGACTGTCAGCACAGAACAGTTTAAAAAAACTAAAAGACAGATGACAGCTCTTTAACGTTTAGTCAGAAGTTGATAAACTCACCTTCGACAAACTCTGATGTCTCTTTCACGTAGCTGAGAAGCTGTTCAAACAAATCGCTGATCTTCTTCTTGGCTACAACAAAGTGCTTCAGAGGAGAAAAGTCCCCCCGAGCTGAATCTGTCCGCCTGAACGTTTTAGTAGCAGCCATGGTGCTCAATCTAGAGACACAGGAGGTGTTACACAAACTGCATTTAATTTATTTACACTTTATAGACATCGTGCACAAAACTCACCATCGTACTATTTAGATTAAAGCCTAACAGGGCTAAAGTAGCTCCACAATATTGTGGCTACTCTGCAGAAAAGCTATCTTTAACACAATTTAATATTCATTAAATCCATAACATAACTGACGCTTAAATTGCTGATATTTTAAAAATATTAAATAATTACTAACTAAACAGATATGTCCCTGTTTTCTAGGCTGCCTGCAGGCAAGCTACAAAACTCGAAGTGTAATATCTAACGAACCGCTATGAAGCTAGCACGAGTTAAGCTAGGCTAGTGAAAGTAGCGGCAGCGGCAATGTGGTCTGTTCTAACATTAGTCAGAAGTGTAAATATATCCTCACCACAGTCCTAATAAATCGGCGTCCACTTCACATAATACAAACACAGATGTTCTACGCTGACACTAAATATTCTCGCACTTCGCACAAGATTCGTCGCTGCCAACCTGCCTAACCTTCTGTTTGTATCCAGCACCGCTGCAAAGGCAAGCTAACCACCGGAAATACAACTTTGACACGTTTAAAAAAATAAAAGCCGTCACATTGCGGAAAATGAAATTTACACTTAAAATGTGTTTTAGGTCTAGTTTATTCTCTGCTAGTTTATTCTAGTGTACAAATAATGTACTGCTGAAAAAACAGTTTATTTATCCTATAATGGATGCCATATTTGAAAGAAACATGTAGTTGTTTAGCAGATGAGTATTTGTATCTCAATGTCTGAAACGATCTCTGTCCATAAAATCCAGAACAGGCTGATACCGGCCAATCTCTGGCTTACCAAAACTTCTGTTGCTTGCTGGTATTTTGTGCATGGAGCATAACTTGAGCTCATAATAACTGAAAAGATTAAACTGCTATAATTAAATTGCAATTATGTTATCATACTATATCTATGAGGTCCTAAAGGTTTATTAGAACCAATGAAAAAACTCTATAATTATAACTTTTACATTTCATCCTCTTTTTGAATCTCAGAAGAATATGACATGTTTTAAGTTAATTACAGTACATTTTCCTGATTGTAAATCTTTGTGGTTATTTGTCAAATTATTTTTAAAGAGTTTTTACTCTTTTAAGTTTGACTTCATATATTTTCAATACAAGTTAATGTATTTTACAAACTTCAGAATGATTTTTTTAAAGCCAAACTTGTTTTATTTTGAAATTTTCTGTTTTTTGACCAAACTGAGCCAGCTTGATGAAAATCAAAAAAGGGGCGGGAACTGGTGATGACTCGATGCCTCCATCGACCAATCAGCGAGTAGAATTTATGCAACCTTCAGCGCCCGGTTTACTGTAATCAAAAGTTTACGAAGGTCACAGCTGCAGAAACACACTAGTTGAAATATACATATAAAAATAAAAAGTCTGTAAGAATGTTCTACTCTTTTTTTTTTTTAAAAAAAAACATTGTTTTATATGAATTTGTATAGAAACCATTCATACACTTGTTATACTCTTAATAACCAGATATATAATTCACACATACATATAGCCCAAGTTTGTATGGGTTCCAATAACACATTTGTAGCATATTTGTATGTGAATAAACATATGATCTAGACATTTAGGTCAGGAACAAACAAATGACCAAACAGATAAACAAATCAACCATAAGAAGAGACAAAAGAAGAAGGTAGGAAACACACACACACATAAAGGCTGTCAAACAGGTACACTAGAAACCAATTACATTTCCCCACATCAACAATTTTCTTTAATCTTATTTACTACGGTCATACACATCTTATATTAATTATCTTCATCTACAAGTTTTGCATCTTTAACAAATGAATAAAATGAAGACCAAACCTTCTCAAATTTTTCTTGCTGCCCTTTTTGTATGTTATTCTTTCCAAGAGAAAAGTTGTTAACATTTGTCTAATCCAAAATGTGACACTCAGACTATCAGTTCTTTTCTAAAATAGTGCAATAGATTTTTTTGGCATGCAAGAGACGCATATCTATCAAAATACTGGCTATAGCTATGACCACTGGGTCCCAAGATAAATAGAGCAGGATCCATTAAAAAATCTTTTGAAATAATTCTTGCTGTTATTTTCCTAGCCTCCTCTTAAAAAGCTGGTTTTGTTGCATTGGCATAAGCAATGTAATAGTGTCCCTTTCTCCACCATGCATTTTGTAAACAAATCTAGAATATCAGGGTTAAATTTATTCAGTTTTACAGGCGTGATGTGTACTGTCACAGTCCATTCATACTGTCATAATCTAAATGTTGTACTAATTGATTGAATGTGAGCGTTGGTGCAGGTTAAATTCCACTTCTCAGTGGTAATTTCCACTCCTAATTCCTCACTACATTTTGTCTGAATTATATCACAATTTTCTAATTAAGTTGACATTAATAGATTATAAAGTTCTGATAAAACTAATGAAAAATTATGTTTGTTTTTTTAAATAAAAGCCTCCATTTATTTGGTTGAAATGTGCTTTTATTTCTTCTTTTACTTTTAGCTTAACATGGTCTTTATTCATTTAGACTAAAATAGCAGTGCACTCAGTGCCTCGCATGCATGTGTCAGCCTCTTTGTGTTGTGACTGTCAATGACTCTATGTGTGTGTCTGTGTGCGTGTTTGTGTCAGAGAGACAGAACTTAGCAACAGTGGCAGCAACAGTGGCAGAAACTACAATCAGTCAGAACCGTGAACACAGAACAAGCTCCAGGAGAAACCTCCAACATCTAGTTTGGGATTCAAACAACTCAACAAGCGCTTTTCATCCTAAAAATTTTGAATCACTCTTTTTTTTTTTTTTTTTTTTTCTGTATTTTTCTGTAGTTTTGCGTGGATTTAAGATGGAGAAGTAAAATGGTGAGGAAGAAAATACTGCTGGTGTTTGAGTAAGTATGACATTTCTAAGCCTTTACAATACACTGCTAACATAGAAGCAAGCTTATTATCATGTAAGTACACATAGTTTTATATGTTTCTCTTTTTATATTTTTACATCAGTAGATTACTTTCTGAGCCTGGTAGAGTTATGCTTTGATAATTAATTCATGGCCTTTTTGCAGCTTCACCATCATAAATAAATAATGCAATAGACATACTCTCTGCACCCCCAGGGTGATATACATTTCCCCTCATTCAATGGCAACTTTGATCCAATTTAAATTTTTTGATCACCAAAACTTTGATACTCATTCTCTCACACTTTAACTTGGTAAAACTGAAGAAAAAAAATACACAACTGAAAACAATCACGAGGCACTTGTTCCTTTAGTGAAAAACAACCTGAATTCAACTATTTTTCCCTCAGTTTCCACATTGTGTTGGTGCTATTGTAGCAGAACAGGCGACACAGGAGCTCATATGTGTATTGTGTGTGTTTGTGTGTGAGTGACTGTGCTGCTGTGTGACCTCTGTGGTGTACCTTTTATGTAGCATTCTCTTTAACAAGGACATTTTTGTTATTTCCTCATTCATGTCAAATTTAACCAAAACCTAAAGAATTTTTCAAATTTAGAAATTCATTTGAAGAATTCCAAACATCTGATTGGCTGGAAATCTTGTCTCCTTTTGTCTGCAGAATTTGTGGAAGGATGATGTGGGATGGATAAACAACGACCAAACTCTGCTGTAAGTAAACTGAACATCTGTTTGCATTAATATGCTTTTTTTTTTTTTCCAGCTGTGAATGTAGGTACATGGACGTGTGACTCAGGATGGGAAAAGAAGAACCGGTTCTTGATTCTTTGTAATTGTAATTGGTTCCAATAATGTATTTGCATGGTGACGTAGGACACGCTTCATATTATGATAACCAAGATGGCGTCACGGAAAAAAAGATGATTTTAGGGCCAGTTGCAACATGTGGCTCTAATTACAATAAAAGGTCTTGGTTATTGTATTATTGTTATTGCTGTACTGTATGAATAGTCATCTCATATTAACCTTTACAGTCATATTCAATAAAATTAGAATTCGGGTTCCGATGAGGCTCGTATGTCAGATAAAGCACGTTTTCAAAGTACTTTTAAGACCCAAAAAGACCCCAATTCCTACATTAAGAATGTTTTTTAATTGGTTTGATGTCATATTCTAATCTTAAATATCATATGTCATTATATCATTTCACATAAGCAAGAAATTATGATTTCTTTACATATGTTAAAAAAAACATCTTTACTTGTGTAAAGATTTTTTTGGCTCAGAAGCTACTGAAAACTTTTAGCTACCCCTTTCATAGAGGCAGGGAGCTGTCAAAAAATAAACTTTCAAAATAAAATAAGGTCTTCCTGTCACACTGCTGGACATCGATACATCCCAGTTGAAATTTTCTTCACTCTCAGGAGTGAGTCAGCCCGATCTCGAAATCGAACTGGCCGACATAGCGGATAAAGAGTTATGAGTGTCCAAGTTCAAAAACCCGAGAGCTGAAAGAAGTCGCCCATTAGAGGGCCCACTCTCTCTAAAGAGCACAAATGGAGTGAAATTGACAGCCTCCACAAATCTAACAAACTTGTTTTTGAAAAATGGAGTGTCATTCCTGAGACATATGTAAACATGAAAAAGTATGTGTTTAGAGTCCTAACCCTGAGCTTTCTGACCCTTCTGCTGACCCTCAAACTGGTGACCTCATTGAGATATTCAAACCATATTTAGACCTGAAGCTGATGTAGTTTAATATTTAAATATATATTCAGGCGCTTCGGTTAATTGCTGGCCATGAAAGTAACCCGATCGAGGATGAGAGCACACTGAACTGGACTTGTCACAAACGTTTTAACTTTATGTTAATTTTTTTTTAAAGCAGCTAAGCTGTGTCTTTGTCTTTTATTTATTTTAAAGTGTGCTAGTTTTTATTTTAATTTTAAACAAATATGTGAAGAACTCAAATAGGCCTGCATAGTTCAGTGATTAATTAATTTCAGGATAGGCCTATACATACACACTGCACTTTTGTTGGTTGCATTCCATTGTTATAACAGGTTAAAAAAAGTTAAAAATTAAAACTTTTAAACATTTATAAGCTGTGTTACGTTTTGCAGCTCTAGACTATATTTATTTTGTGAAGGATGGGGCAAAATGGCTCTTTTGATAGGTTGCCAATCCCTGTTCTAGTTGTTTTATTTACCAAAACAGTCTTTTTGTGAAACAAGAGGGTAATTTGTGAAAATAATTGTCTTTTTTGCTCTGTGTATTAGATGGCCTCTAATGATCCTGAGCTTTCTGAGCCCTCTGCTGACCCTCAACCTGGTGACCTCATTGAAATATTCAGACCAGCATACCAGCACTGGGCTCTCTACCTGGGCGATGGTTACATCATCAACTTAACTCCTGTTGGTCAGTAGACAGAGGCAAATCCCAGTGTTCCCATAGCTAACCTGAGTAAAACTCTGCCCTTCGTCCCTCAAATATGAAGCACCTGCTTACAGTAAAGTTCCTCTGCATTAAGTACACTCAACAGATGTAAAGCGGGGTCTGTCATGGCTTAGCTAAAAGTTGATTTTCAGCCACGGGGCAAAGCTGTGAAAATGGATGGAGCTAAATAAAGGTCAATAATGGAAGAAACCTGTTAGAGGATGCAAAAGAATAGAGACCGAGGGCATAGGTACAGCTTCCTGCAGGAAAGCAAACATACAGTCAAAGCTACAATGCTTTTTCATAGTTGCTTTTTCAAGCTACAAGAACTGCTTTTCTTTTCATCTTGAGATATGAGGTTCAAAAACTCACTGACGTGTTGATAACTGTAACAAAGATTTCTCCATTTTTCTTTTACTTTTAATGATCAAAAATGGTGTCTCACACAGATGAGAGCCAGGCAGCCGCCATGTCCAGCGTCAAGTCGGTGTTCAGCAGGAAGGCCGTGGTGCGCATGCAGCTGCTGAAGGAGGTGGTGGGAAATGATTCGTACCGCATCAACAACAAGTATGACGACAACCACACGCCTTTGCCTGTCCGTGAGATCATCCAGCGAGCTGAAGTCCTCATCGACCAGGAGGTGTCCTATGACCTGCTGGGGAGCAACTGCGAGCACTTTGTGACCCTTCTACGCTACGGGGAAGGGGTTTCTGAGCAGGTCCATGACTGTTTGCTTTGCTTTTTTCTAATGTGCCATCAGAGCATCGTCGACACATTTAACTCCTTAGACAATGCCTGTTGAATGGTTTCATCTTGCGGCAATTTTTTGTTTCTAAGAAATAAGTTCATGCCTCTCTAAACATTGACAATGGTTGTATTTCCTCAAACTGAAATACTGTGAAAAAAATTCCCAAGATACTTTCTAAATTGATCTTGATCAAATCTTTAGGGCAGGGGTCCCCAAACTTTTTCCTGCGAGGGCCACATGACTGTTCCCTTTTCTGGTCAGGGGCCAGTCTTAGTTTTTCGAGAAAGAAACCTTAGAAAAGTTTTGTTGACGGGGGGAGGAGAGTGAAACTGTGGACCGGGGGCGGGGGCTGGATTACTGCCGACGACATATTCGCGTTTGTAGATAGATTTTTACCCAGAATGCAAATGGAAAAAAACCGTGAGTGAAACGGTGACTGGTACTGACTAGTATATATTCTGACTAGTATATATTCCATTGAGGGAAACTAAGTTTCATATCTGCTCAAGTGCCCCCTTGGTGGTTGAAGAAAAATCCACATAAATATGGAAAAAAAAAAACACGGAATGCTCTCTGGTATTGTTCAGGGGGCCGGACCAAATGAGGAGGCAGGCCAGATGCAGCTCGCGAGCTGTAGCTTGGGGACCCCTGTTTTAGGGGATCCGAGGGTCCTTTAGATTTCCTTTCTGAACTTTGCACTCATTTTCATTGCAGTGTATGAAACCTGCATATGCTGCTCTATTGAGCCCATATGCTCAATAGAGCAGCATATGGGCTTAGAAAACTGAAGGAGGTAGATTGAGAAGAGAGGGAGAAGGAACTGTTAGGCATCTTCAAAAATCCCAGAAAAAAAGCTTATCAAGGCATCTTTCTTTTGGAAGGAAGCAATTGGGTTTTTGTAATCAAGGAGAGGTCAGCCATTTTGTTTATTAGAAGCATGCAGGGAAGAGCTGGGCATTATCCATTTGTTTGTCAGTTTACATTTTATATTAATGCCACAGAATTGATGTATATTGTTTCTCTTTATTTTAGTTTGAGGAAGTTTTATAAATGATTGTTTTAGTTTCATTTAAGCACAAGTAGTTTAGGTAATAATCATCTAAGGCAAATATTTTATAATATTATGGGTTCATTTTTATGTTTTTATTTACAGTTTCACAAATTTGTCCAGGAAACATTGTTAATGAAGATGAAGACAGACTGATGTCAACTTTACTTTCAAGTCTGAGTTGTTAAATTTTTTTACTATACTCAGGACACTCGTTTAGCTATCTGTCACTTCACGTAGCTCTATGTGTATGGGGACAGAATATGCAGTAGGCCTACTACTAATTCAAAATAAAATGTGAGTCTGGTCATGCTGAGTTTTGTGCTCTTCCTTGTCTCTGCAGGCTTCACGGGCCATGGGGGCCATCAGTCTGGTGACGGCAGCAGCCAGTGCCTTCTCTGTCCTGGGACTGATCAACACACGGTCCAGAAACAGGCCTTTCTGAACACTGAGATCTGCACTGGAGGCTGTTGTTCCCCAACATTCATGCAACTGTAATAAAAGAATGTGAAAACAAAAAATGAACTGATGCTACTGTTTGTGCAACTTATATATTCTTCACGTAGCTCTGAGTGTATGGGGACAGAATAGTGAAAAAAACAGCATCACGTCAGTCAGAATGGTATGGAAGCGTGTGGAAGAAAGTCACTGGACATTTGAAATGATTGAAAAGGCTCCTTTGGACAAGTTAGATTTCCTACAGACGATTAGACAGACTTTTTCCACTCAGAAAAAACCACTACACATGTATTAGAGTGCCGCCTGTGAGTGAAAGGGGGAAGCGATGGCTGACAGCTGTACCCGAAACACGTAATTAGTAAGTCACGTCCAAAAAACCGCAATGCGACTTGGATGTAACGTGCAAAGCAACGCTTTATAGAAACGTAGTGAAATATACAGCACAGATATTTACTGTAAAAGTATGTTGTAGTCGAGTAAAAGTCGAAAGTATGCACGATTAAATCTACAAGTAAAGTACAGATACATGAAAAATGTACTAGTAACGAAGTACATCTACTACGTTTCATCCCACCACTGAATGTAGACAACAATTTTGGCATTAATACAGAAACGTTAAGAACAGTAACCCAACCAGAAGCGCTTTTTATAGACTATGGGTTGCATTATACTCAGCAGACAGCAGGTGGGGCCATCTTCTCTGAACGACATGGAAACACCAGAAGAAGAAGAGACAGCGTGACGCCAAACATCTGAGCAGAGACACTCACACGTGTTGTTTTTATGAGTTTGGGACAGTTGTGACTTTTCAGCACCGTAGTCCAGAATTAACAAACCAGGATAAAGATGGGGAAGAAGCTAAAAGTAGGAAAGACGAGGAAAGATAAATTCTACCATCTGGCGAAAGAAACAGGTACAGTAATGTTAGTAGAAAAAACCAGAGGCAGAGGGCTCATTGGTCGGTGTTAGCATTAGCTCTTGGTTAAGCTTTAGATTTTAGGAGATTTTATTGTTACATAAGGTTTGTTTTTTGTTGTCTTCAGGTTATCGGTCTCGGTCTTCCTTCAAACTCATCCAGTTGAACCGTAAGTTCCAGTTTCTGCAGAAAGCGAGGGCTCTGGTGGATTTGTGCGCTGCTCCTGGAGGATGGTGAGCAGCCTGACTACTTTTATCTCTAACATTACAATATCTTCAGACAGAGTGTGCAACATGACTGAGCTGTCTGAATAAAGGAAAGATAGTTATCTGCATTTAACTAACCAGAACGATCCCTGGCGTCGCAAAGATTTTGTGATTTAAGAGAGCAAAGTACAAAATTTAGGCATTTGAGTAGAATTTCTTTAGAGTTGAGTGTCAAAACAAATCATTTAAAAAAATAATCACAGGACCTTTCAATGATATTAAGATCATGTATGTAAAATGTAAGCTTGAAATGAAGACTGTTGGACTTTTGTACAGAAACCTTTCAAATAATGCCATAAATTTGCATTTGATAAAAATAAAGAATGCTGAATAATCTAATTATGATTGGAAATGTCCTTTCCAGGTTGCAGGTAGCATCAAAGTTTATGCCCGTTTCAAGTCTCATCATTGGTGAGTATAGTGTTGAAACACAGGTATTGAATTCAATTATCTGTGTGCTTGGTATGCCAACTAAAATTGTCTGTGTTCCTGTCAGGTGTCGATTTGGTCCCCATTAAGCCCATTCCCAACGTGGTGATGCTGCAAGAAGACATCACGACTGAGAAGTGCAGACAGGTGTGAATGCCGCTCAATTCTTTTTCTGCCAAACAAGGAGTTCACTTTAAAACCGTCCCACAGTGTTAGAGAGTGGAGTTTGTTTGCCTGAGATGTTTTCCGTTTTCCAATCAGGCTCTCCGTAAGGAGCTTCAAACTTGGAAAGCAGATGTGGTGTTAAACGACGGAGCCCCAAATGTGGGAACCAACTGGCAGCACGATGCCTTTTCCCAGGGTAAAATAAACAAAGACATTGATTAAATTGTTCATTTCTGCTTTTGAAGTAGATTTAAAAATCTCTCCTTTTCCTCCTCAGCTCACCTGACCCTCATGGCTCTGAAGCTGGCCTGTGAGTTTCTGACCAAAGGCGGCACTTTCATCACAAAGGTTTTCCGCTCCAAAGACTATCAGCCGCTGCTGTGGATCTTCCAGCAGTTCTTCAAGAAGGTGCAGGCCACTAAGCCTCAAGCATCCAGAAACGAGTCGGCAGAAATCTTTGTCGTCTGTCAAGGTAGGTGACAGCTAGAGATGTGACTGAAACGTGTGTTCTGATTTTAATATATTTAGTCATTTGAAAGTTTAGGACAGACCATGACAACCTTTTCAGGCATTCTGATGTAGTCTATAAATGTAGGAAATAAAAAAAAAAAACACCAGTCGATGGTTATCAGAAACATCTCGGAGGTTTTTTCAGTTAAGAAGAGAAACATTAATTATAAACGGTGTCCAGTGTTTTTCTCAGTTGAAAAACACATTTTTTTTGTTGATATCAGCAAAGTTAATTTTTGGTGCTTACCTGTAATTAAATTTCTTTTTACCCCGAGATAAAAAAAACAAAAAACAGTTTAAACACTGACATGCTAACATTAAATAATTTAAAATTCAAGGTGTCCTATTTTTCTATTTTTTTTTTTTGGATAACTGTGTATGTAATAGCATTTCTGCATATCTAAAACAAGCTCTTGTTGTGTTGAATAGGTTACGTCGCCCCAGACAAAATTGACAGTAAATTCTTTGACCCCAAGCACGCCTTCAAAGAGGTGGAGGTGCAGGTCAAAACTGTGAAGGAGCTCGTCGCTGTCAAGAAGCCAAAGGCAAGCACAATTCACCTCTTTATATCAGCTTCAGGCGTCTAAATATGTACATGGTACAATAAAAAAATGTATCCTGATCTTGATGACATGTTGCATTAGAAATGTACTGGGAAGCAAAGATCCCAGATATTTGACCTGCCATTGACCAAGCAGCTGTGTGCGTTGTAGGCGGAGGGATACACCGATGGTGATTTGACGCTGTACCACAGTTTTACAGTGACGGCTTTTCTAAAGGCCGAAAACCCTGTCGACTTTCTGGCAAAAGCCAGCGAGGTAAGATTGTTGCTATTAACTTCAACCTTTAAACAAACCTGTTCCTTTTTTTTTTAAATTCTTCTGTAGAAGAGTCATTTTAAACAAACATAGTTGAAATTTACTCATTGTTTGGCATGTTGCTTTTTTTTTTTAAATGAAATATCAAAACAGTTTTAAAAAGTTTGGTAAATGATCAATTACTAATTATTTCCCTTTCTGGTTAAAGGTAGAAGCATGCTATGTTTCCAGACATTTTTACTTTTCTAGTTTGCAAAACAATAGATACATAAAATTTAAGTTAGTCGATATTTAAAACTAATAAATTCTTATCTTTGATTTGCAACATTATAGTCTAAAGTTAAGATTATTCAGGTGCCCAAAAGACACTAAAAAGATAATAGCATGCCTGTCAGTGCCTTTTGATTTCTTGTCAGTGTTTTAAACAGCTGCTTGTTAAACAATTTTTGTTTGGATCCTGAAGTTTTAAACCCAGGTTGTTGTTGTTTTTTAATATGTAGATTTTTACTATCATATTGAAGATATTTATTTGGTGTCAAATCATCATGTCCAGATTGAACAAACCTTAAGTGTTTTAAATTATAAAACCAAGCTGCTCTATGTGACTCCACATGGTAAAGAAGTTTTCAAACAGCCTTTATGACCCTGTAAATCAAGTTAATTGTTCAGACATCTCTAATGTCCAGAATCTTAAGAGTTATCAGGAAAAACTAGAAAGCTCTTATTAATCTCTGCTATAGCATGAAATATCTATTTTAACTCTTTCTTCCGTTCTTTCAGATCAAATTTGACAATCCGCTCTTGGAATCTCACTCGGCCACCTCCAATGAAATAAAGGAGTGCTGTCAGGACATCAAAGTCCTGGGGCGCAAAGAACTCCGGTGGGTCATTTTATCTGGTCTTTTTTGAGTGATTTTCATTCAACTATTGAAGTTAAGATTAACACCTTTTAGTTATTTGAATATATATATATATATATATATATATATATAAAATAAACTTTAGAATAAATTTACCAGAAGAACATGAGTTTTTACTATTAAAGAATGGGACCAAACTAAAACACCTAAGTGTCTAAAATAACTCAGACCAAGACACAGCCAAGTTTCATCACATTAATATTACACATGCATACTTCTTCTATTAAAATACATAATGACATAATGCAGCTTAATTTTGCTCTGCTTTCGCATTGAAACATTTGATTTCAAGATGTCATTATTGTAAGTTTACATTGGTGTTGATTTTCCCTCCTCTGCATTCATAAAGTTTGTTGCTGAGTTGGAGAGCAAAACTGAGAAGATATCTAGCAAAGAAACTGAAGGAAGAGGCCAAGCAACTTGACCAGGAGATCAGGTAAACACATTTACACAAAGTGAAGTTTCAATGAAACGTCACAGGGGATATATAAACACTCTGCCTTGTTTGTAGTTTAAGTTCAGATGAGGAGGGCATCAACTCAGAAGATGAATCTGATGTAAAGAAGAAGAAGAAGGAAAAAGTGGATGAGAACAAGGAAAAAGAGGATGATGAGGAGGAAGATGAAATGGAGAGAAAACTGGCTGACCTAAAAGCTCAGGAAGTGGCTGAGCTCAAACGGTTGGTTTTTACGTTTCAGGTGCAGCTTAACCTCAGTTTATTTTTGCTTTATTTTTATGATGTGTGTATTTACCTTGAGCTTTGGTGCTTCATCAGGAAGAAGAGGAAGCTGCTGAAGGAGAAGAGGAAGCAGAGGGAGAGAGTGGAGCTGAAGATGGACCTGCCGGGTGTCTCCATCGCCGGCACCACCGACTCATCCTTGTTTTCCTTATCCTCTCTCAAGAAGCAGCAGGTTATGATCAAACATAATTAAGAACACTAATGAGCCTCTATCATTGTCAGCTCTTGTTCTCATTTCCACATTGAAGACGACATTGCTCATGTTCTTTATAGATGAATTAAAACCTTCTTTGACATTCTTCCTTCAGGTGCTGACTGATATCTCCAAAGGGGACATGGAGGCTGCGGGTGATCTGGGAGACGGAGACGATGACATCCACCTTTCAGACCAGGACGAAGATGTGGATGAGATTTCTCTGGCATCTGATTTGGATGAAGAGGACTTAGAAGAAGTGGAACAGAAACAAAAAGAGCTGGAAAAGAAAGCGCCAAAGAAGTAAGTGATGGTTTTATCTTTCAAGAAGATCTTACAGTGATCCCTCGGCTTTAACGGAGAAGCAACCAGAAACAAAGAAATGTCATATTTTCAGCTTCGATTTAGATTAATAAACAAGTAAAGTTACTTATTCTGCAAGAAAAACACTGAATGCAACAAAGTCTAATAAATTATTAGCCTAAAAATATAAAGAAAATGGATGTTTAAGCTCCTCACTCTTTGATTTCTAGAAAACTTCCCATCTTGTTGTGTAAATCTGTTTTGTCTTAACATTTTTTTTATGTGCTAACAGCCTTCAATAGAAATACCTTAAAGAAAAATCTGATTATGGTTGTTTAAAACAGAAAAGCAATTACTCCTGATGCTGAGACAAACATTTAATTCTTTTTTTATTATTTAGATTAATACAAAGTATTATGGAAAAATATGGAATACATACATATTAGAGTTTTCAAGCGTTTTAGTATGCAACACGAGCACTTAAAACTACAATAAACCACAGTGAAATGTGTAGGCAACTGTGACATTTGTTCTGAATTATATTTTCCTATTCTTAGTATTTATATCCCCAAAATGTTGTTTTATTTTATTTATTTATTTTTTGGAATCCATATTTAATTAGTAAACACGTGAAAGTAAATCTTGATGAAATCTTCACGATATGTTGTACGGCCCTAATTTTTTTTCTGCCATGTCTGAGACATGGTTTTAAAACATAGTTCAGTTTTGACAGAAAATCATCACCGTTCCTATTTTTATTACCCAGAGTGAAGTTCATGGAGGAAGCTGAGGAGGAAGAGGAGCAGGACGGTGGCTTGCTGGTGGAACTGGAAGGAAAAAATGAGAAGTTGGAGCGAGAAACAAACATGTGGTTCAGCAAGGTTAGTCCATGCATGCATTTTTTCCTAATTCAACTTCTGCAAGTATAAGTTGTATTTCACTTCATATCACATTCCTTTAATTGGATGTTTAAATCTGTTTCACACTCGGTTGGCATCTCTGTTTTCGTTCCTTCTTCAGGGCATCTTTTCAGAAATTGACCTGGAAGGTGATGCAGGGAATGAACTCAAACAGTCTGAGTGGCTCCAAAGCAAACAGTCAGGTAAACCATCGTCTCTTATCCTTCTTATCTCAGAAAAATGAAAAATGTTTGCAGATTTCTTTTGTTTTTGCTTTTTGGTCACATTTCACTGTGAAGATAGCTTGAGTTATTTCAGTCTTCAAACTGCCATTACATTTATTTGCTTTACTAACTTTAGCACCACTATTAACTTTTCAACTCAACTTGACTGCATTGTTTAGTCACCAATATTATCTCTGTAAACTACTCATTCGTGTTCAAAAACCTTTTTAAGTGGTGGAATTGATACAATTTTACTAATAGTGGGTCAAAATTTCTCTATTGATGTAAAACACTCATTACCAGTAATGGCTAAAAGCAGCTATTATATCGATTTTTTCACACGGGGCGAACATTAGTCTGAATTACAGCAGTTTGTGTTTACTATTAAAGTGAAACTGCTGTGACAATATCTGCAGAAAAAATTTTATCAGGTTACTATTTTACAGCTCTGTAAATCTGTTAAATCAGTTTTTTTTTCATTTTGTAGGGAAGGGGAGAAAGAGGAAAGCTGAAGAAGAGAGTGAAGATGAAGTAGAAGACAAGGAAGAAAAAGAGGAAGTTGCTCCTGCAGAGGTGGAAACTCCAAAACCGTCACAGGAAGCAGCAGAGGAAAGCGACTCGGACGACAGCAGCGATGATGAAAAGTAAAACTTGATTTTCTCTGACTGTGTTGCATTTCCTCCAAAATGCACAGAGTTAATGGAAGGAAATTTTAAGTTTAAATAGTTGAGCACTGCTGCCGCAGCCACAGTGCACTGATAAGCAAGTCTCACTTGTTTTGTTTCAGTGAGATTACAAAAATGAAGCAAGCCAGGGGATCCGGAGGGGCATCAGGAGGAGCTGAAGATGACAACTTCCAGGTCGTTCCTGTTGAAAGCATCAGTGAGTATTAAAGCCTCCATGAGAACAGAGAAATGTAAGTTTTGTGGGGGAAAGAGCAACATTTTATCAGGCTGGGATACAAGAAGTCAAATGCTGAAACCTTAGCTTTCTCCTACTGCAGAATTTGTTTAGTAGTTGTCGAACTTTGCATTAAAACTGTTTCCTTCGGTTTCCAGGTAAAAAAGCCCGTATCCTGGACGCAGAGGGTCTGGCACTCGGCTGTGAGATCGCTACATCCAAGAAGAGAGCCAGAGATCTGGTAGACCACTCCTTCCACAGGTAAATGTCTGCTTTTGGAAGTCATACTTCATAAATGTGCATACTTCCTCCCCTAGATAACACACAAAACTATTATTATTATTATTATTATTATTATTACTGTTTCTTGATACACTAGGCACAATATGAACCACACTGTTGGGTTGGATGAATTTGCATATTTTGAGTCCGTACAGAGGGGCTGATGGTTTGTGCTTTGCAGGTTTGCCAACTCTGACGAGCCATGGGAAGTACCGGAGTGGTTCCTGGATGATGAACGCAAACACAGGAAACGGCCAGTGCCTGTTACCAAGGAGATGGTGGAGGAATACAAACAGAAATGGAAAGAGATCAATGCCCGGCCAATCAAACGGGTGGCTGAAGCGAAGGCCAGGAAGAAGAGAAGGGTAAGAGAAAAATTCTGTGAAACTTGGTCAGATTGAAGATATACAGGAAGATTGACATCATTGTAATTTAGAGAATGGACAGAGATTAAGTCCAGTTTCTGTTGGATTCCTCTAGATGCTGAAGAAGATGGAGCAAGCCAAGAAGAAGGCCGAGGCTGTCGTCAACACTGCTGACATTTCTGAAAGAGAGAAGATGGCTCAGCTGAAGAGGTTTGTTTTGACAACTGTGAGACTGGAGCTGCAGTCGTTTACTGGTTGATGCTAACTTAAAAAAAAAAAAAAAAAAAAAATATATATATATATATATATATATATATACACTAATCAAGTTTCTTTTTCTTCATTCTGTCAGTATCTACAAAAAAGCAGGCGTGAAAAAGGAAAAAAGAGAAGTAACGTACTTGGTAGCCAAAAAAGGTGTTGGCAAGAAGGTGAGTCGGCCTCGTGGAGTGAAGGGACTCTTCAAAGTGGTGGATGGACGCATGAAGAAGGACATGCGGGGGGTGCAGAGAAAAGAACAGCGAGGAAAAGGAAAAGGAAAAGGACGACAGCCTAAGGGTGGTAAAGGGAAGAGAGGAAAATAAATCTGAACTTTCTCCTTCTCTTTTACACATACACATCAAGCTTCTTTGTGATGAACACATGAACTGGAGTTTATTTTTAAATACTGTTTTCAGGTAAATATGACTGAAAGAGTATTTAAGCCAGAACTTTGGACCTGTTGTGGTGGTGTTTATGCTGATATTACTATTACATCTTTTTTAAAGATGCTGTTCCTCCCAGCAGATGAACTGCAGTTCATCCTAACTACAGTAAATGGATTCATAATGTTTTGTAAATATTTACAATTTGACAATAAATGTTTTGCTCAGACTAGTTGGTAAGTGCTTGTTTTTATTTTCATGTTTTGCTTTATATTTGGTTTAGGTCCGAGGTCTTTAAAGGTTTGGAAAACTATGACGTTTGTGATGCTGTGAAAACAACAATCACTAACAGAATTCTTCATTTTTTACTTTTTTGTCACATTATAATGTTTCATTATAACATTACAATGTTTCAAATCATTGAACAAACTTTAATGCAAGGTAGATAATCAAATTAAATACAAAATACAGTTTTCAAATTATTATTAAACTATTTTTTGTTATAAAAGTTGCAGGTAGTCACCACAGGTGGTGATTACATACATTTGTGTTCGATGATATATGATGATGGATATTTATATTCAGCCTCTTGACCGTAATCTTTTGTAATAGTGAAGTGGGTAACAGTCGACATGTTTATCTGCGCATGTACGTAGGTTATTACGGTAGGCGCCAAAAAAACATGGCAATGTTTTCTTGTTCTCCGACCAGAAATTATAAGTACTCATTTTATTACATAGTAAGCAAATTATTATTGAGTTATAATATTGCTAATAACATGATTTACTGTGACTACAGGTAGATTAATTAAATTATAACTTAAATTAAAGATCTTAATTTAAATTAAATTGAAATTCTTTTTTTTTTTTTTTTTTAATGGGGGGTCCTAATTTTATTTTACTTCCTTAGAGGATTATGCTAAACTTTCTTCATAGTTATGATTCGACTTATACAACCTCTGGATCTTGTCTAAATATTTGCATAATTTTATGATGTAATTTATTTAAGCTAATTCAATTCTGCTCATATATTATCTATTTGACATTAGCACCACAGGCACAAAGTTGTTTACAACAAACCTGAACAGGAGATACAATGATGTCTTTTAAGTTTTTGTACTTTCTGAAACTAGCGCAAAGCTCACTTTTCAGTTATCTGGAGAAAATGAAATGCATCTGCTTAAATGTTTTTATTTTATTGTATTAATTTGGAAAAATAACAGTAAAATATACTGTAAACAAATATTTGCCTTTTTTAAAAAAAAATCTTATCACTTATTTTGAGCATTTTATATCTTAAAGAGTCATACAAACCAGTGAAGTATTTGGGAGTCTTTATCGTAAATTATGTTGAGCGAGAGCATTTAAAAGAAGGCGGAGCGCATAGGACTCTATATCGGACAGCTCCTCCTCATAAACTTAGCAGCCCATTTACGTAGTACACCGGGCATGTCGACAGTAATACCTTAGTCGCCATTAAATCTCGATATTTCACTGTGAGTTTTTACGGTTCGTCTCTCCTCGCCATATTCCTTGGACACCGCTCTGTTTTTTTTCCGATAAATAAGTTCGTCGAGCGTGCTGTCACTTTCGGTTGATACTTAGGTTTAGGTTAGAGGTGCTGTGAAGTCCGCCACTTATCATCATCCGTTTTATTTTAGTTTGGCTGAAAGTCTTGTATTGTGAAAACTGGAATTTGGCATTATCAACCAGCTTTTATTGCTGCTGTTGTTCCCAGGCGTGTACAGATGGACGACGAGTGGCTAGACCCTTATGACATGCTCAACTATGATGCAGTTGCCAAAACAATGCGAAAGACGATAAAGGTTCGTTTATATCTATTTTTTATGCAGACATTTTTATTTAAAAATGAGTCCTAGCGTTCATTTTCTCTGTATTCAGACTGAGCCACACTGGAGATCCACTAGTCAACATGTGGAGGATCTGCAGAGGCAGGTTAGTGCTTCAACAACGGCGCTTGCAGAAACACCGTTTTTAAAAATGCTCAAAATAATTATAATTGTGATTTGAAATATATTGTGGTATACACACACTCACACGCACATCATCAACATTAAAATGTTTGACATCAGAAATGTTTGACGGCTGCATGGTGTGGCAGGTGGTGTAACTTTCCTTGCATCATAAAAGTCCCGAGTTATACTAATTTTGGCTTGAGGTCTTAGTGCGTGGATAATTAAAATGTTTTTTGCAGTAGTTGCCTTTATTCATCAATCAAATGTGGGACAGCATAATCGGGATATATATCTGGTGCACTTGCTCTAACCTAACACATGGAATTAGCACATTTATTTGAGAAGAATAGTGAATAAACATTAAGAGAAAGGGAAACCGGTGAGGAATAACTTGAGGAAGTTATGTCCCACATTTTGACTGTCACATGGAGCACTGCTCAGTCCATCACCTGGAAGCAGAAGAGCAAGGATGTTTTTCCTTAGAAGGGACACGGAAGCTAATAAGAGATGAAGGTGAGATGGGTAAAACAAAAATAAATGAGCAATCCTGCTTTCACATTTTTATTTTGCATAAAAAGAAGTGGAAACTGTAAGTGAATTTATGGATTACTAAAAGAACTACACATAAAACATTGTTTAAAATGTATTTGAAGACACCACTTTGAAATCCAACTTTAACTAAAGTTGTTGACATCTGTCTCTTTCATGCCTTAAAGAATAAATGTTCCCCATCTCGTTTACCTGCTATTGCCGCCCTCTTTTTCCAGATCGGGATGCTTGTTTTGAGTCTGTTAGCCATCATCTGCAACCAGAAGTTTTCTGGTCCTCTAATCTTCTGGCCCTTGAAATTCATCAGGGTGCTGATTTTTTACTTCCTTGTCAGTATTCCTTGGAGTTGGTTCTGTCTGTACCAGGTAAACCAGAGCACCTTTGCTTCTCTAGCTTTGTGTTTAGCTGTCATCCAGTGTTCAACCGTCAAATGCTTTCAATGTTTGCTCAGGTTGCCTTCATTGAGCATCAAAACATCATCAGAGAAACAGTAAACCTCAATAAAGAATGTAAAGGAATAGAAGAAATGGATTGGACCGATGGTTTGAAAGGTAGGATAACACTTATGAATGCATAGCAATGCAAACTAATGAAGTTATACTGATTTGTTATCTTCACTTGTTTGAAAGATTATTGAGTGATATAGAGTTTCTATATCTTTGAATCCGTCCTCTCTGTGATTCACCCTGTAAAAGGTAAACCAGGTGGTTCACAGCTGAATTACAGCAAACCCTGAAAATGTTTTTATATTACCGTAAATGTTGTATCTTCCAATTCTTTGGTGGGAGGAGATTTTGTGACATAAGTCAGGTTTGAAAGGGAAACCCGTTTTTGATTACATAGTATTTAAATGTTGTAGATGATGTGATTTAAAGTTGTCTAAGCTCGTTTTTGGTCAGGCTAATTAAACTATTTTCATGCTAATCTGCAGAGTGGTTCAGGTCCACCAGGCCTGTCCATGACGACCCCTGTAAAGATTACTATGCTTTTTTTAGAATCAATCCCCTCCTTCTTGTACGTCCAATCAAGGTGGGTCACATGGTGTATGTGTTTGTGTGTCTGTTCTGTACAAAAACAGTAAAAAAAACAGCAGCTATGACTTTGTCCTGCTAGTTCCCAGTTTTGGAATAGTTCTGTCTCTAATTGGATAGTTCTAATTATTTGTTCTTAACATTATTTTCTGTTTAGGTAGTATCATTTACATTCAGGATTTTAATGAAAGACCCACTAAGACACTTTGGGGAGGGGTTAAGTGAGCTTCATCGAGCAATCCTAAACCATCTGCCAGTTACCCTTCAGTTTCTAGTCTTCATGATCATCATGCTCGTCATTTCGGTAATGAGAAGCCAAGGTTTCATGAACCCTGGATATATGATCACTTTACTGACATTTGTGTTTTATTGATACACAGTGGTTCCTGAAAGAGAGTGTAGAGCCTGGCCCGCAGCACTACACCAAGACACCAGTGAATAAGCTGCAAGATCTTCCTTCAGGAGTGAAGGATGGTGATCGGATGTCTGCGTCTGACCAGGGTTCTGACCAAGCTGCTGATAAAAGTCTTGTCGATAACATGGGAAGTAGCATCGCTGCAGAGACATTGGGCTTTGTCGAACCTAAACTTAGAAAAACTGAGAACAAAGAAAATGTTGAGGCGATGGAGAATCCCTCTGTTAGTTCAAGGCTCACAAGCCAGCAGGAAAGACGTGAGAAGTCTGCTGCCGACACTGATGAACCAGCCAGCTTGTGCCCAGTCAACGTGACTCCTTCACAGGCTGATCTGGAGGTGGGTTCTTTTGAAAATGTATAAAACCATGTCAAATAACATGTTTTAAAACTGTGACAGTTGTTTGAATACAACATAGATAATGAATGCCGACCATATTTATATAATACATCATAATAATAGAACATAAATATTATGCACTAATTATATTTATTTATATATTCACGTTGTCTAAAAGAAGAAAACAAGCTTAATAAGGATGTGTTTATTTATGTTTCAAACTTGTTCAAACTTGACGAGCCAATTGTAATAATAATGTGCCGTTGAGAAAATAATTCTCATAAATGATCTTGTTTTCTTTTATAAATTTAACATAAGGTGCTTTTTGTTTTTTTTTTATTATAAATTTGGAGTTGTTTTATTGTAATCAATTGTAAAACCATTTCTGCAGGACAAAGAAGACTTCATGGAAGACGACGCGTCCTCCATGCCTCTAAGGCCGTCTTTTAAGCTGCTACCGACTTCTATTGAGGAGACAAGTCCAAAGTTAGTGGATTAGACTTCAAAGCAAAGTTTGTTGTTCAGAAGTTATCTGCATTTAACGGCTTGACTCATATTTGGATTGTAGAATCGTCTCGAGAACAGTAAAATGTCTTCTCTGTGATAAGCTGAATGTAGGCGCAACAAGACACTTTGCTCCTTTATCAGGAGTGTTTTATTTTTCTTTAGATACAAAGGGAAATGTTCCCTGATGCACAAGACTTAATATTACCACTGTGATTAATACTAGTTGTATTACATTTGCAAGAAAAGGCTGTTGAAGAAACATGCGAGCAATAAGCAAAAAATGTTTAAATAAGACAAAATAAATTAATCGTTTAGTATTTTTATTTTTAAAAGAAAATAATGTATTTTTTTGTTATGAACACTTGGTAGCCATTTATTGTAATTGCACAATTCATACATTCAGAAACTCCTTTAAGGTAAACAATGAGCACTATATGGAGAGTTAGAAAGTTATAAATGTTACTTTATAAAGATAAAAAAAAATACTTTTTGCTGAGTATTCAAAGAAATGTTAATCAGTGACTCAACTCCATTTCATGTTTTAGTGTTGTTTGTTGGTTCACTGTGATTTTGTTTTCGGTAAGAAGTAGATATTTCTACAATCGGATGGAAATATTTTTCTCGATGTGAAAAATTACTTTGAATGTGTATTTTTGTCTGTATTAAAACAACCAGAATTAATGTGTCTATGTTACCTAGAAGTTTGTTTTGCTGTTCATCATCAGGTAAATTTAAAAAATTGGTGAGGCTTTGCAGCTGTGGTTGACAGACGTTTTATTACAGTGTATGCAGTGCAATTTGGTCTTCTGCTGAAATAGACCTGAAATGGGAGATTCTGCATTATTGCAGCCCATGTAATACTAACGTGCAATTTTGAGGGTTTTGTTAATTAACTGGAGTTTAATATTTTATGCTTTTACCTCAGCAAAGTGTTGCCATGTATAGAAATTGTGTAAAATAAAAAACTGGATTTCATAATTTGGTTCAAGCTTCTCATTCTTTATTGGAATATATCCTTTTTGAGTGTCACTCTACATCAAACACAATGAGCTCAGTACTTGAGCAGGAGGAGCAATTTTATTGCTCTTCTGTTATTTTTCCTGTTTCTAAACCTTATTGTATATGACTTTTAAGACACCACCAACTTAAACTACTTTTAATTATGTGTTTAAATTACGCTGTAGACTTACATGAGGCTTATCTCTTACTTGGACCTGTTCAGTATATAAAAAGGGGAGATGGAGGGATGATCTTAATGGTTTAAATTGAGGTTGAGTTGTTTGGGGCTCTTCCAATTCTTCTTTGTGTTACTATTTCTTGAGAAATAATCTAATTCAGTCAAATTCAAGGTTGATGTTTTAAAAATCTAAATCTTTAGTTTCAGATAATGAAAATGAAGGTGAAGTTAATCTGATATCGCTAAAAGGCATTTACTTCCTTGTAGTTTTAGATGTACTCTAAGAACCCTAATTGCATAAACTATATAACCAATTCAAAGCCTTTTAATGGTTTGGCTATTGACTGAATATTTTAAAAACACATTTGAGAAGGCAATCAGTGGTTTCTTATTTCCACTTTATTTTGAGAGACATCAGTTTTAAATATTTGTTTTATGACAAACTGCATTTCCCATAATCCCTTAAGCTGCTTCCGGTTTTTTTAACGTAGCCGAAACCGGATCTTTCCTGGAAAAAAATATTTCTGAATTACATCTCTCCGTCCAGTTGATGGCGGTAATACACCAAGTTTGTAAACCGCCAGTAAACGCTATAGAAGAAAAAGATCTTTCCTGGATCCTCTGTTACTTCGTGTTGTTGTGCGGTTGGAAGCGTTTATGTGGCGGTAACTTTTACTTTCGGTAACGCCGTAATGTTTTAAATGAAGCCATGAACAAAAACTGGTGTCTCGATAGGCTCTTTGTCGCTGTAGCTGTATCCTCTCGACATAATTGCTTTAGTTCGTCTTGAGGTGGGCTGGAGCTGCTGTTTAGTTGGTCCTCTGTACAAAATGCTGTTCTTACTGCTGCTGTGCTACCTGTCACTGTCTGCTCGGGGTCAGGAAGCAGACGACGACTGGCTGGATCCTTACGACATGCTCAACTACGATTCTAGCACCAAAACGATGAAGAAACCTCCCGAGGTTGGTTAATACACAAACTCGTTGAGTGGCATGAAAAATACGGTGATGTCTCTGGTTCTGGTGCCGTATTCAGCCTGTGGGTGTGTTACTTCCCAGCCAACAACCTTTACCAACGTGGTCACCAAAAGAAGAGAGTACGTCCAGGACCAGACCCAGGCTGAGCTGACGACCTGTAATCAGCAGAAGGAGGATCTGCAGAGACAAGTTAGTGCTCACCAAAGTTAGAGACTTAAACGTAAAATGTTCACTGTCCTTCAGCCTCACAGCAGCAGACACTAAAGATGGCAGCTATGTATGCTGGATTCAGAAACGTGTAAAGAAGCATAATATAAAGACTTACTAAACGAGTTTTCATGTATTTTTTTTGAAAGAATGAATGAAAATAGTAAACCATTTTATTTTGTAAACAGTAACCGTAGCATTGTTGCCTTGCAAGAAGTTTCCTGGGATTGAATCCCGATTTTGTGTGTAGAGTTGACATTATTCTTCCTGTGTATGTGTGGTTTCTCTCTGGGTACTCTAGCTTCCTCACACAGTCCAAAAACATTAGTGTTAGTATGAATGTACAGAAAGTCATCTGGATTGTTTTACTTTGCTTTAGATTGAGGACCAGACGAAGGAGATGGCACGCATGTCACAACAGCCTACCTGCAGCCCAGTGTTCAAGCGGTTCCTCAGCAGGCTGTTGAAGGAAATACAAAGACTTGGTGTGGTGGGTCCTGATTTAATACAAGCCATTATAAATCATTATTATGGTGCCCGTTATAACTGGATTCACTATGAAGCACAGTAGCTTTTGGTGTTTTTTTTATATGAATGAACCCAAAAAGCTTATTAAGACACTAAACAAAACAAAAACAATCAATTTTCTGTCTATTTTTTTTAATCTCATCAGCCAACTGACTCGTCGGATGTCTTCTATGATGCCAAAATCAAGCTGTCCAAACAAGCCATGACTGAAATTGAGTCACTTCTGGACGGCGAGGATCGATGGAGAACGGGAGCTCTGGACAATGCAGTCAGTCAGATTTTGGTGGACTTTAAACAACATGATTATGAGGGTTGGAAGTGGCGTTTTGAAGATTCCTTCGGTGTGGAGCTGGATACAGTATTAAAGGTATTGATTTTCTTTTGCATGTATAGTATTTTTAGTAGGTTACAGGTCAGCTGGCCTTGTGTATCTCGTAAGTAAGTCAAAGGTCAAGCCTGCAGTCAGATTTTTTTTTTTTTACCTTTCTTAAACATTAACCAGCAATAAAAGTACAGTTCTATACTGTAACTGAGGTTTTAACCAGGTGTAGCGTTAAATAATAATAATAACTAGACTGACTAAAACCTTCTAAGTATCTTTTATAAGCTTTAGGTGTTAAGTTATTTATGTTAACTCTCATTTCTTTTCCCTGTTTTGCAGATCATGATACTTGTTCTCATTATATCAACCATAATATGCACCCAGCTGTGGTCAGCCGTCTCCTGGTTGGTCCAGTTCAGGAGGATGTTTGCCGTTTCCTTCTTTGTCAGTATAATCTGGAACTGGTTCTATCTGTACCAGGTGAAAACGAGCTCTTCCAGGTGTTTTGCTGTTTTATTTCGCTGCCATGCAGAGCTTAGGAATAATGTGCTTTTCTTGCTTAATCAGACTGCTTTCGCTAAGCACCAGAACGACATAGTACAGATGGAAAACTTTAATGAAAAATGCACCGGCGTGAAGAAAATTAACTGGAGGGATAATCTAAAAGGTAAGCCGTCGAGCATAATCACACATATTCGATGAAAGCCGGATCAGTTGGTTCAACTTAATATTTGCCCAATTCAGTAAAAGAAATGCTCTTTTAACTGTTGCATGAATTATTTATTTTATTACTCTCCAGAGTGGTTCAGAACCACCTGGACTCTGCAAGATGACCCCTGCAAAAAATACTATGAAGTCCTCATGGTTAACCCCCTCCTGCTGGTGCCTCCAACCAAGGTAGGCATTATTGTTGATGGATGTGTTAATGTTTGTTGAGGGGGTAAACGGACCTGTTATAACGCTTGAAGCATCTGCCTAGTATTATGTAAAAGCTTAATCATGCTGCCAGGTTATTCACATTAGCATAATCATGACACGAAAACTAGGACCTGTGCAGCAGGTCTTTACATGAATCGTGCTGTTGAAACGTATTCCTTCCCTGACAGATTTCTTTTTTTTTTTTTTTTTTTTCTTCCCTTAAATTTTTTATATCACCCTAAAAACTTAATACC